ATCATTGAATGAAAGTTTATAAACACAGTACGGACCTCAGTTTTTTCTTTTAGTAAATAGACCCAACAAAGTCGAGTATGGTCATCAATAAAAGAGACGAACCATTTTTTGTGAGTTCGATTAGGGGTTTTAGAGGGACCCCACAGACACTATGAATCAAAGTGAATGGTGTCGATGGTTTGTATGTAGATTTTGGGAAAGGAGTGCGGTGATGTTTTGCTAATTCACAATTTTCACATTGAAAATCAGCAGTCATTTTATTTGAAAATATGGAAGGTAATACATGTCGTAAATACTAGAGGTTGGGATCAACCATTCTAAAATGCCATAACATTATTTCACTATCTCGAGGACTAAAAGCAGAATCACATGTTACAATTAGATTTGATTTACTCACATCTGCCTCCTCAAAGTAGTAAAGCCCCTCACGTTCCTTAGCAATGTCAATCGTCTTCCCCGATGATAGGTCTTGAAAGATACAATGAGAAGGAAAAAATTTAGCTGTGCAATTGGAATATTTCGTTAATTGACCGATTGACAATAAGTTACAAGCTAGATTTGGAACATGAAGAATTGATTCTAGAGTTATGGAATTAGATATTCGAATACTCCCTTTTCCGGCTACAGATGAGAGGGAACTGTCTGCAATTTTAACTTTTATATTTCCAGCACAAGTGGAGTATGTGGAAAAAAGGTGATACGAGTCCGTCATGTGATCGGACGCACCAGAGTCAATAATCCAAGGAGCCTTAGATTGAGCGACCGTGAGTGCTCTTGGAAAATTACCTTTGTGGGCAAGTGAACATGATGAGTTAGAAGAGTGAAAGGATGAAAACATTTTATATAGTTGCTCCATCTGCTCGGGATTAAACGCACCGCTCGGAGTGAACTTATTTTCCTCGATAGTATCTACTTGGTATCCATGAGTCGTATTATTTTGTCTTGATTTCCAATCCGCAGGTTTCCCATGTAGATCCCAGCATGTATCCTCCTTATGTCCTGGCTTACAACAGTGATCACACCAAGGACGACCTTTTTGTTTTGTTCCAGGCCCACTAGCCCCAGGCCCATTTCTTTTAAATAATGGGCTCATTTTAGTTGGTCCATGCCATTTAGAATTATTAACTCTTGGCCCACTAGGCAAATAGGTTTGCCTAGATTTTTTAAGTAATTGGGCCGACCCATTTGGCCCAACATCCTTAGAAACTAGGGCAATCCACTGCCTTCTTCATCTAGCACGTCCCAGTTCCCATTCATCATAATTTTCCATCGATGTTCCTCCCGGAGCACTTCCGCGAAGGCCTCCCGCGACGACGGTAGCGGACGCTGGCTTAAAACTCATCCCCTCACATCATCCAAATCGTGATTCAAGCCAGCCAAAAACTCATAGACCCTCTCGTTCTCCAGTTTGTTCTTGTACTGCACACTGTCGCCGAACAATCCCATTCTTCTTCTGTGTTCTGATCGAGTTCTTGCCATAAGGAATTCATCTCCAGGTAATATTCCGTCACATCCCTCTCCCTCTGTTTTGTTTGCCAAAGCTTGGTTTTGATCTCAAAAATTTGGGATGAGTCCTCTGTATCAGAATACGTCATGGACGGCTTTCCACACATCTCTGGCCGTTGGTAGAAAGAGATAGGGTTTCCCAATTGCGGGTTTCATGGAGTTAATCAGCCACGCAGTCACCAATGAATTTTCCAACCTCCATCTCTGCAGAAAGACGGCATCGGTTGAGGCAGGCTGCTTCTTTTCTCCGGTAAGATATCCCAATTTACCTTTTCCATCGACAATGAGCTTGATTGACTGAGCCCATTCACGTTAATTCTTTCCGTTTAATTTTTCCACGGTGAGTTGAAAAGACGAATTGTCCAGTCCTCCGGAGCCCATGGTGGAGAGAAAATCTACTTCACTGCTTTGGGACTCAGACGTGGTTGGCTTGTTGTTTTCAGTTTGTTCTTCCATTGTCAGTTGAAGGCTCGGTCAGGAATGACCAGGCTCTAATACCATATGGAAACGAGAATTTAATTCTCTCTAATTTTACATTACAAAGAGCCTCAATATATAGTACAAACTGGGAATAAAAAAGGCAAACTTCTAACTAGGGAAATATAAAATTTACCTAATCTAGTTAAGGTAAAAAATCAATTATACAATCATATAAAAAAATATTTCCATAACCGGGATTTCTACAAGTAATGTTGCCTCACAGTTGTACATTTTGCTCAGATTGTCGAATGTACAAGTAATTAGGTGGTGAAGTGGCAGATGGTAGTAATTTGAGTTGTTCAATTGCAAAGTTGGCTATTCAATCTTTATTTTTGGAAATCTAAATGCTATGAATTATTGGCACTCGACACAGACATGACGCTAACACGCTCGCATCTACTTTTCAAGGAAAAAAAATGTGCATAAAAACATTGGGGACATGTTTATCTAAATTGTTATACACTTTATATTATATCTTATTTTTGTAATTTTTTAATTTCAAATAAAATCAATATTCTTTTTAAGTTTTAATATTTGCTAGCATCCTCAAGCGTACAAGGAGTGTCAGTGACCGACATGTCTAGGACATTCCCTTTCCTTTCCTTGGCATTGTTTTCATTCCCTACCATTATAAACTTTGATCTCGGGTTTTCATCTTTAGATTATCAGTTACATAAGGTGCAAAAATTGCAGGGCCCAAGGAAGAAGATCCTACTTTCCCTGCTGCCTCGCAGTTCCAAACGACCAGCATGATATGTATATTCCTACATGCAAGAAAGATTGCGTTACTGCCATTAATGTTAAAGAAGGAACTCAAATGATATTCTGCTGCATTGTATTTTCTCCTGCTTTTGGTTGGAAGGTCGCAAAATCTTGCCATTAAAATTTTAATGATGGTATTTTGTAGTTGATATTTTTAGCGTATGGAAAACTATCCCTTTTTTTTTTTTCTGATACATGGTCTTTACCTGGTATGTGTAAGAGTAGTAAAGGGAGTTAAAAAGCATATAGCATGAAAACCTTTTTTTTTTTTTGACATGTTTGATAGGAACAATTTGATAATATTGGACGTGGTTTTCACAATAATGAGAATGTGACTAGGATTTTAAGTTTTGTTGATAACCATTCATGATTATGAATTTATAATCTAATATGTTCATAACATAGTGGCAATTAATGTGGTTATAATGTTTGGGATTAAACTGAATGCCCCGGCTCAATGACCGGGGCATTTGACAGGGCCCCGAGGTGGCGCCCTGTTATTTGAGGGGGGGCTGACTTCGGTCAGCTCCCCCTCCAATTGTGTGGTGCCACCTCGGCACCTGGATATTACCCCGGTCATTG